GACAGACATGAGTTTGAACCGAAGGACAGGGATTGTTGATTTGGATGGAAGACTATCATGCGGAAAAGCTGATGCCAACCCTTCTTATTCTCTCAAACCATCATCACCCTCATTACAACCGACACCACAAAGGACCCAAAGGTGAGGCCATCTGCAACATCCGATCTCCTCTCTGTTTCCTTTTCAATTTATTTTATCTTAACAAGCTGCATCATATCTCCTCTATCTTCACAAAGCTAACGATAGAATGCATTAACTCTATACGATCGTACATGCACGCATATACACAAATCTTCAGCCTTGGAGTACTGTTCGGTCCAACATGTTGTCTGTCATTGTTTATTTTGTCGATAGATAAGACCATTCTATCAACTAGGGGCTCAAGTACATAGATTTTGATGAAGATGACCTAGGGTTTTTTTAGGCAAGCTAAGCTTTTACGTGTGCCGTTCCACACATCTCTCACCCGTTAGATTTCGAATGTATTAATCCCAACATCTTCTAAAAGTCAAGGACTTAATTTTGTTCCAATCTCAATGCTGCTATAATCTGACGGCTATTTCTTCAGCTACATTTTACAAGAATCACCCCCTAAACTTGGGATGACCTTTCTACTTATTTGCTGATCTAGCAATTAATTACTACTAATTAATCGTATCCCTTCTGTTTTCTGCCTCCTTTTGTTGACTTCCCCCAAAGATGGCTTGGATTATCCCATAAAAACAAGAGTACTATAGAGTTGCATACATTTCCATGCTCTACATTATTATATAGAATTAAATTACAGCTAGAGTCTTGATATTATATGTCAAAACCTAAGAGAAGAGAAGACATACTAGATCACAGTATCGATTTTTCTACATCATAACCAACTGTCCAGTCATATCGATTCTTCTACACATTTTAGATAAAACTAACATACTCTGTCTACGTTGCAAAGATCTACTTATACATGAAGGAAGATTGGGCTTCACCTATTAATTAGTTGCTAGGGCTGACTTTGTTATATCCGTCCTGTTGCTTATGTTACATCTTCTTCTTACTTAGTGCAATTGGTCTTACTTGGTGTTTGCTATGCTGAATGCGTTTGCAGTGGTTCATGGCTATCCTCAACGGAGACAAATAATTTGAGCATATCAAGCCATGGAAATGGCTTGACTTTTAAACCTAATGATGTTAAGGTATGATTGCATCACCGGAAACAAAATCGAACGTGTTGAAAGTTCGTTTATCTATCATTGTGTTAGTTATCAATCGTATGATTAATTTTGGTTTTGCCATAGGTGGATGGAGACAAGGCAGTCCTCCATGTGTCGGATAGAATGAAGGAGAGGTTGGATTCCAGCTCCTTGTCACCTTCAGACATGTTCCTTAACCTTGAATTCACCCTCGGAAGGCCAAGTTGGCAAATGGACTACGCTGAATCTTCAAATGAGCTAACCCTTCTCAAGTGTTAGACACTATAAAACCAGCTAATATGATGTTTTTTCCTGTGAATTTCGGGGGGGAAATATCTAACTTTCATGAACTAGCTTGTTCCATGTTCTTTAAATTTTGTCTGGAATGAGAAAAAAAGGGTGAAAAAAAGCGTCTGAGTACTCTTTATCACATGAAAAAATTTGCTGTAGCCTTGTGAATGTTGAAGCACTCTTGTTCCCTGTAATTTTGATGGCATTGTGGAAAAAAAGAACTAGTATAGTAAAAAGCAGACAAACATCTTGGTAGTTCTGGGCCATGGTCTATTGTCCTCGCTAGGTTTCTGCAGCCTTCCAGGAGGGTCCCCAACAATGAACAGGTGGGTCAAGCCCTAGAGCGAAATATCTGGGGCAGTTTATGTCAATCAATATCGCACTCGGTGCTCTCTGACCATTGAGCTGGGTATGGCCATGCATGCCTCCGTGACCGTGGATGATTATTGTAGCCACGATTTGAATGCTAATATCGCAGAGAGGCAGCTCTGGGGGGCTCTGGCCCTTAGAAGTTTGAACGTACGATTTGATAAGACATGGGTCCTGGGTCCATATATACACAACACGTCTTACTGAAAAATAGTGATAATGACCCTATGTATTTATTAACTTGTAAGTACTCACAAAAGCGTGACCATTCTCTTAGGACCCCATATTTCAGAATGGCCATGATTGTTCTTCTTCAAATTTACAACGAGCTGTGTCTTACATATTACTCCAGATACATGCAAGGAAGAAGCCACAGGGGACCACCATACTTTGGCTGGTTCTTCCCCATGGACTATAGCTTACAAATTGCACTTGTGAAATTTGTTTACTGGGATTTCTTTTCTTTTGGATTAATTAGATTAGCCAGGAAAGAGAAGAGAAGAACACACTTAATCCGATTATGCGGGGCATAGAGCTCATGTACAAAGTTACAAATATGTGTCGGCAAAATAAGGCTCGTGGTTATAAGTTCTCCTTAAACAGCCAATTCGGTTGAGGTGCCTCTCCCCTGTTTTCATGAAAAGGAGACCAAATCTTTCAAAGAAAACGAGGAGTAATCTAAATAAAGTAACTATACTCAATGATATGGCTGATTAATTGGCATTATTTACGAAAACCCATATATGTTTTTTGTAATTAAACCTTGTGATAATTTCGAAATCGAAATTAAAAAAAATGAAAAGGGATGTGATATATGTACCCTGTAATAAGTCACATATGACAGAGTCATAAATGGAGGCACAAGCTCACAAAAGCCATTTACAAAAAGGCAAACACAAAACTTCGCCATTGTTAGTTGTCGTGTAAGTGCCCATGCCCCTATCTTCATCACTGCAGGGAAGAAATCAGAAAACGAAATCTTGTACTTTTTCATTTGAATATATGGTGCACAGTCGCTATCAGTCTTTTAATACCCGAGACTTCATTCCTGTGCCTGCCTGAGAAGAAAGAAAAAAGGCCCGTCAGATCCAATCTCCGTTCTTGGTGCTGATTAGCAGGTGGGGCTCCAATGCTGCAAATCGAAATTATTATGGGCCTGTTAAGCTCTGCATCCGCCATTAGGCCTTTGGGGTCCAAAGAAAAAAGAAAGGGCGGTGTTGGAAATTGGGAACTGGTCCTTGGTTTCGTCGATGATGATTGCATGGTTGTCTGTTGCGTGGAAATTGTGTCTGCCAGCACCCACCAAACCAAAAGCGAAAACTTCCTGACAAAAATTTCCATCATTTCTACCCAAATTTTTTAACTGCTGTCTGCGAAATTTCCATGCGGTCTATCATTACATGTATCAATCCTGTTAAAAAAAAGATCTTTCGGACAAAACACTAACGTACCCTGTTTCCATTTCTTTCTTTGAAGCTTCTTTTCTTGTCTTAAGCTCTCTTCTGCCATTCCCATTTTCCTCTGATTTCCAATGTTTTTAACTCCCTTTTGTGTTTCTCTTCCAACACTATGCTTTTGGGGTACAATATAAATTGCAAATTTTGTGTAACCATACACACCCAGTCCCCTGGAAAATTATATACAATTTTGTTGAGTCATCGTACATATCTTTTTTCAGTGGATTCGTGGTCCCAAATTGAAGTATTGATCGCATGCTATCATGGGGGCATTTTAATTTCCTGACCATTCTTTCGTTGTGGCCAATGCCGTGAGTTGTAATACGGAAAATTATAATCATCAAATGTATGGCAAGTGGGGTATATAACTATTGGCTAAGCATTTATTTTGTAATCATACCGGAAAGGATACCCTGGATACTGTAAAATTTACAAAAGATCGCGCGACTGATGCTATGAACAAGTCAATATTGGCTAAAAGTTCCATATTTTAATTGCATTATTCTAAATGTTTCATGCTGCACACTAATCTGATCTCATTTGGGAGAAATTTCCATCAAAATGATATAAAGACACAGAGTTGTTGGTTTAGCTATGCTGCTGGAAGTACCACTGCTCTAGTGCATTTGGGCTTCTTGTCAAAACCTTGTTGGATGGGCTCCACGCCTTCAGAATTTCCTTTTTCTTTTTGCATGTGAATGAATAATTTCAGAGCGAAAATTCTTCTGATTCTTGGATGAGTTTGTACCCCTTAGTTGTATCCTGTTCAAACAAAGGGGAGCTTTGGTTTATTGTTTTGGACCTGTTCATATTTTATGAATCAGTGCTTGCTCTGTTGTGTAACATCAGCCTGGTTTAGGCATTTGCTCTGCTTTTGTCTCTATGCCTAAGCTATCATAAAATATGAAGAGAGATTCTCGATGACACCCTTCTTTTAGTTTTAAGTTGTCTGCTAAAGCTCTGTGCCTGAAAAATTTTATGATGGAACTATTGAGAAACTCACAAGCAGCAAATTATAAATTGAATTAATTCTTGATGTGTCTCTCAAAATAACTCAATCTAGTTTTCCAAACTGCCTATACCCATTACATTAGTCTTTTAATAATTGAAATGCACTGCTGGAGTATTGCATTCAGGATTTAAGATAAGTACTGTGAACAACAGATGACACAAAAGTGATGATATGCCTCAGAATATTGAGAAATGTCAAAGTGGCAAGATTCCTGCAATAATGTTTGGTAATTAGCTCTACCCAGGTGGAGGCCAAAGTGCAGTCAGCATGTGTATACCTTAAGACATTCGTACTACAGAGTTTTATATGCAGGGGAGAGTTGACTTTCTTGTGTTATTTCGTTTTATGACATATATGGACAGAGATGTGCCCAACTTACAAGAATTAACAATTCAGCTTGCTGGTCTAAAAGGTGAATTAAAAAGACCTTTAATACATTCTTTAGCTCTTTGCACCATAAGAATATTCAGCAGATAAAGTTATGATTAGTTTCTGCACCAGAAACTAAAACAGAACAGGCGATGGAAGAAACCATGTTAACAATCTTTCTGACCCGAGTGTATAATCTATAAGGCCCGAGTGAAATAATGCAGAGACTCTAACATTTTACTGGAATAGTGAGCTAACGTGGGGCTCTGCAGTTTTCGGCAAACAATTCTCAGATTATTGGGTCAGTTGCAGTAGTAGGATGTCTAGTCACTCTATTGAAAAACGGAGTGATGAAAACCATCCCAATACTGCTGCATGGATCAGGCTAAGCTGTTGCATGCATGCAAAATTATATTTTAGATATGTTTCCATGAGAATTGAGGGTGATATCTATACTTAATTAAATTCTCTGGGCTTCTTACTCTCTGCAGTCATGCACACGCAAATCCATATGGACTTTAAGGATAAAGAGTAAGATAACTCTTTGTTATATTTCATTGATTGGTTAATACCTGTATTTATACAAAAGGTTGGTTGAGTTCGATTGACTATTCCCAAGGAATATCTTAGAATCAATCTTAAGTAATCTTCTTGTGATTGTGATCTTCATAATAGGAAAAATAAATTGATGAGGGGAAGCCATGTCCCTTGCCAGAAAATGTTATGCACTGGTACGCATCATGCTGACTTTAGTCCAGTTGCTATTGGTCTGAACGTATAAATAGGCATGAATTCTTTTTTGTGAGTTACTGAACCATGGATTCTTTTCTCCAATTAAGTGCCATTGCTGTCTTTCTCACCTTAATCTTTTGCTACAAGGTATTGCTTGGACAGCAAAAGACAAATGCAGATGACAAGACTAGAACGGCTCCTCAACCAAAAGGTGCATGGCCAATTCTTGGCCACCTCCACCTATTGGGCGGCAGTGATCAGCTTCTTTACCGAACACTTGGAGCAATGGCTGATAAGTATGGGCCTGCATTTACAATCCGCCTAGGCAGTCGCTGTGCGTTTGTGGTTAGTAGCTGGGAACTAGCAAAAGACTGCTTTACAATTAATGATAAGGCGCTAGCTTCACGTCCTTCTACAGTAGCAGCAAAGCACATGGGTTACAATTATGCTGTGTTCGGATTTGCACCTTACAGCCCCTTCTGGCGTGAGATGAGAAAAATTGCAACACTTGAACTTCTCTCAAACCGCAGGCTTGAGATGCTCAAGCATATTCGCATTTCTGAAGTTGACATGGGAATAAGAGAACTATACAATTTATGCCATGACAACGGTTCCAGTCCAGTGCTTGTTGAACTTAAACAGTGGTTAGAGGACCTGACACTTAATGTGGTTGTTAGAATGGTGGCTGGGAAACGTTACTTTGGTGCATCTGCTGTCTGTTCTGATGGCGAGGCAAGAAGGTGTCAAAAGGCAATAAAAGAGTTCTTTCGTCTAATTGGTATGTTTGTTGTTTCAGATGCACTTCCTTTCCTTTGGTGGTTAGACGTGCATGGTCATGAAAAGGCAATGAAAAAGACGGCCAAGGAGTTGGATGATCTACTTGAGGCCTGGCTAAAGGAGCATCGCCAGAGAAGGATTTCTGGTGGAATCAAGGCTGAAGGGGAGCAGGACTTCATTGATGTAATGTTGTCCCTTCAGGAGGAAGGTCACCTCGCAAATTTTCAGTATGATGCAGATACTAGCATCAAGTCTACATGCCTGGTATGTTGGATTTAAAGAAATAGGGTAAGTTTGAGTTCAGAGTTTCATATATAACAGCATTTATTGGGCCGAAAGCTGGACAGGACACACAATGAGCAGAGGGTTTTACCCAAGAAGGTTCTAATTTGCTTGTTTTTTATTAGAATGGTTCATTTTGGGCCTTCTCTTCACTGGTGTAGCATGTTGAGGCATTTAATTTTGTGCTCATTGAGAATTAAAATCATTTTTGCAATCTTTATTCCTGATAAGCTGACTTTTGTTAGGCAAGCTTACTTCTCGACTGATATTCTTTTCAATTTTCTTGTAGGCACTTATCCTTGGTGGCACTGATACAACAGCAGGGACACTGACATGGGCCATCTCATTACTTCTGAATAATCCTAAGTTGTTGAAGAAGGCCCAAGAGGAATTGGACCTCCAGGTTGGCCGGGAAAGGTTAGTAGATGAGTCGGATGTACAAAATCTTGTGTATCTTCAAGCCATTATCAAAGAAACCTTACGCCTCTATCCAGCTGGTCCTCTACTTGGACCCCGGGAAGCCATGAACGACTGCACCATTGCTGGCTATCATGTCCCAGCCGGCGCCCGCTTGGTAGTAAATGTCTGGAAAATTCAAAGAGATCCAAGAGTATGGTCAAATCCATCTGCATTCAAACCAGAGAGATTTCTCACAAGCCATGCCAATGTTGATGTTAGAGGTCAACAATTTGAACTCATTCCATTCGGCTCGGGAAGACGATCATGCCCTGGTGCATCATTTGCTCTCCAACTTCTTCATTTGACACTTGCTCGTTTTCTCCACGCATTCGAGCTATCAACTCCTTTGGATCAGCCTGTTGACATGACGGAGAGCCCAGGTTTAACCATTCCAAAAGCCACCCCATTGGAGGTTCTACTTGAGCCCCGTCTCCCAGCTAATGTCTTTGCCTTGTAATCAGGGTACGGAGGATATGGTTGGAGATGCAACTCGAGTAAATAACACCAACTAGAATGGAATATTTTAGTTGATATCGTTATATATTCTGTTATATTCAATACTGTGGTTTGAGTTCTGATCATCTTGCTTTTGTCTTGTCTTTGTGGTGAAAGCCGAAACAATGTTAAAACTGTAAAATTTTATAATTCAGTAACTTCAGTCGATCACTCTTTTAACTTATTCAGAATTGTCAATGAAGTATTGATGAACACAGAGGGCACAAGGCTGCTCCTGGTTTGCTGCGATGATGTAGGCATCTACTTCTACTGATATAAATATAAGAGGTAGTATTCAACAACTAAAGAGTGCTATAGTATAATATATGGCTATGTTGACTTTCATGATCAACCTGGCAAATAGCATCGTTTCGCTGTTAAATAAATAGAAATGACGATCAAATCAAGATAACATCTTTTTCTTTTTCGAGTAAATTATTTGTGTTCACTAATTCCAAATGTTAAAACACCCCCAAATGCTATCATCCAACAATCCAAGCCACAATGGATATTGATTCCGCCCTCCCTTACCTAACCAGTAACATTGCCGGAGTCTTTGCTGTACTCCTACTCTCCTGTTTCTTGATCAGGTGGTCTGGAAAATCTTTGAAGGGCCAAAAACCACCGGAAGCTGCCGGTAGGTGGCCTTTAATTGGTCATCTCCATGTATTAGCAGGATCCCAGCTTCCATATTTAGCTCTGGGAGACTTAGCTAACAAGTATGGACCGATATTCACCATCCGAATTGGCTTGCACCCGGCTGTGGTGGTTAGTAGTTCGGAGTTGGCCAAAGAAATATTTACCACCTATGATGTTGCTGTGTCCTCACGCCCCAAACTTACAGTAGGCAATTACCTCGGCTATAACTATGCCAACTTTGGTTTCTGCCCTTATGGTGCATACTGGCGCGAAATGCGCAAAATAACAGCCTCGGAGCTTTTATCAAACCGGAGGCTTGAGCTATTGAAACATATTAAAGCCTCTGAAGTGGAAAGCTCAGTAAAAGAGCTGTACAAGCTTTGGACCAAGATAAAAGATGAGTCAAGCCATGTTTTGGTTGAGATGAAGCAATGGTTGGGGGAGTTAAACCAGAACGTCATTCTTAGGATGATTGCAGGGAAGAGATTTTCTGGTGCTGGTGTGGCCAGCGATGAGATAGAGGCAAGGCGGTGCAGGGAGGCAATGAGGGAATTCTTTCGTTTGGCAGGATTGTTTGTGGTAAGGGATGCAGTTCCTTTTCTTGGGTGGCTGGATTTGGGTGGACATGAAAAGGCCATGAAGAAAAATGCAAAGAATTGGATAGTATCATGGAAGAATGGTTAGAGGAGCATCTCAGGAAGAAAGACTCTGTTGGCGAATAGCTAAGGAAGAGCAGGACTTTATTGACGTGCTGCTCTCCGTCCTTGAGGGGGTTGACCTTGAAGCATATGATGTTAATACTGTTACCAAAGCAACAGCCATGGTAAGAATTCTGGTACCAGCGTTGTTTTTACTTAATTAGTGATTATATGACCAAAAGGTATCAATGTAATCATCTATCCCTTAGGGAATCCATGTAATAGCATAACTTAGACCTTCTGACGAGCTGAATTCCCAAATAAACAGGGAGCTAAAGCATGAAGAGTTAGGCTCAACCTTCTTTAGAAGAAAATTATAAGAATCAAATTGCCTCGTGTGGTTTAAGTTGCTGTTATGGATGGCACTGACATTATTGTATATTTTCTCCAGACTCTGCTTGTAGGAGGCACTGATACTACAACAGTCACTATAACTTGGGCACTTGCACTATTGCTCAACCACCGCCATGCTTTAGAAAAGGCTCAGGAAGAATTGGACATCCAGATTGGCGGGGAGAGGCTAGTAAATGAATCAGACATTGATAAGCTAGTCTACCTCCAAGCCATTGTAAAGGAATCACTACGTTTGTATCCTGCTGGACCACTCTCGGGTGCACGCGAATTCACTGAAGACTGCACAATAGGTGGTTACCATGTGCCCAAAGGCACGCGGCTGATAGTAAACCTTTGGAAAATCCAAACAGATCCGCAATTTTGGTTCGATCCATTAGAGTTCAAGCCTGAGAGATTTATCACCAGCCACTTGGACGTTGATGTTAAGGGTCAGCATTTTGAGCTCATACCATTTGGTGCTGGTAGAAGACAGTGCCCGGGGATAAATTTTGGCCTGCAAATGACACAGCTGGTGCTGGCGCGCTTGCTCCATGCTTTCGACTTCTTGACTCCATCAAATGAGCCTGTGGACATGACTGGCAGCCCAGGACTAACACACATCAAAGCCACCCCACTTGAAGTTCTTGTCAAACCACGCTTGTCTCCTAATCTCTATCAGTAATCATCTTGATGTGTAATCCACAGCTATAGCTTTCATTACTTTAACTAAAGTTGAGACAGAATAGATTTTCCTTAAGATAAGATAAGGTAATCATGAATTGGCAATGGAAAGAGCAACCACTCCGTGCGGATCCTTGACTGCATATCAATTGAAGGCTTTCTTTCCATAGAATAAGCTGCCACCAGTTGGTGCCTCTGTTCCTTGTAATATGTATGCTTTGTTACTGTACTACTAGTTTCCTCTGCTTTATTTCGCATGATTACAACTGGAATTTCTTGATAATTTTCCATTAAATTCAGCCTCCAAAGGATAAATTAGAACAGAAAGGAAATCCAACATATAGACAAGAGACGCCACTAAAATTCATTTAAAATCTTCTGCTAGTGTCCTACTCTGGCTTTTCAGCAGGCATCTTTTCATATTTGTCCACTACTCAGAAATTATTAAAAAGTCATAATCACTGGACTCTTTTCCTTTTGACTACAAGCTCACAATGGAGTCGGAAAATTTTAGTTTCCCATGTTTGTCTTTCTTGTGAATTTTCCACCTGCTGACTTAGCAAACGATAAACAGACAGAAAACGATGTTCACCACTCACCCGTGCTCACTACGCAATTGCTTATAGCTGTGGGTCAATGACAAGATCAGAAGGTATCATGATTGGCCACTAAACCCCATTTTCTATTGTTTTCTCCAATCAGATCCGGTCTATGGCAGCCACTATACAAAAGTAAATTCCAAGCCCCAAAATGAAGATACATAGTTAAGACAAATGCTATAAAAATACTATGAAAATTTGGAAATTAATACAAAAATGATCAATGCAAACTAGGTAAACAGGAAAATGGAAGTTAGTTGACGACACCACGCAATCCATATCCATTAATTAGTCCTGCACTACTCCTGCTTGAGGTACGATGGAAATAGCATTCAAAACCTCAACTTCAACGATATCTGGCGTATGTGGTGATGCAGGCAACATAATTTATTGATTATCAATAGTTTTATGTAGCTCCTTAATCTGTAACTAATGATCATGAAAATTCTAAATCTGGTTTCTTCATTATTTAGTAGCTAAATCTGGACCGCATAATTAAATGAGATAAATATAAACATTTTTTATGTGACAAATTTGTTGGGCCGAGGCCATGCAGAAGGAGATAAACCTCTTTGGAATCAACTATATTTGACGTGAAAACCGATACGCAAGAGACGAGAAAATTTGCTTCCATGGATTTCCTTCTGGCTGACAGAAGCACCTCTGTGTTTGGTATAGTAGCCATTCTATTCTTTTCTTACTATCTGTTTCTTAGGTCAAGAATTGGCAAGAGCAAAATTCATGCGCCCCTAGCTACAGGGGCATGGCCCATAATTGGCCACCTTCCATTGTTGAGAGGACCAAAGCTTCCTCATTTAACACTTGGAGACATGGGTGAAACATATGGTCCTATCTATGCCATCCGGTTAGGGGTGCACCCAGCTTTGGTGGTGAGTTCTTGGGAGATTCTTAAGGAAATATTCACAAACCATGATGTGGCTGTCGCCTCCCGCCTCAAAGTGACAGCTGCAAAACACTTGGCCTACGACTATGCCATGTTTGGTTCTCACCCTACGGTCCATACTGGCGTGAAATGCGCAAAATAGTCAATTTAGAGCTACTCTCAAACCATAGACTCGAGCTACTCAAGCAGGTTCGAGTCTCTGAAGTGGAGACATCATTGAAAGAGCTCTACAAACAGTGGACTGAAAAAAAGGATTCTTCAAACCATGCTTTAGTTGAAATGAAACAATGGTTTGGAGACTTGGCCTTGAATGTGATCTTTAGGCTGGTTGCTGGGAAGTGGTACTTTCGAACTGGTTTAAAGGGTCATGAGTCATGACAAGGAGGCCAGGCTGTACCAAAGGGCGCTGAGGGAATGGTTTCATTTTTTTTTTATATAGGTAAATTTATTAATGAAATCTCAAGAGATAATAAGTTAAATAGTTTTTAAAAAAGTAAAAATATCCTCACGGGTGAAAATCGATAAGCATTAAAAGTAATTTGACGTGTAAACAGTATAAGTGAATCATTCGTATATTTTAAAATTATTTTATATAACAAGAAAGGTTCAGATGATAAATTCAATACATAAAAACTCTTGCTAAACTTTAAAGAAAAGATCATTTCGAGGAAGAAACTAAAGTTATCAATTTTTAAAATTTTAAATTTAATAAGATCGTCAGCTGAATTTATCTTCATACTGATACGATTAAAAATAACTCTCTTAATAAATTTAAAATTTTTTTTAATAATATTGAATATTAATTTTATATGCCAGAAAACTTTGCTATGATCTCTCGTCCAGATAATGGCGTTAGAGGAATCGTTTTCAACTTCCAAGTTAGAGTTGGAGGCCAATGGAGAGGCAAGGAAAATTTAAGACGCTGGTGAATGGCTTGAAATTCAACAAAGTTTGAATCTTTTACGTCAATGTTGTGGGAGAAAGTACCTTTTATGACACCATGGTGGTCCCTAAGGACTCCACCAATACCAGCTGGCCCGGGTTTACCTTTGGCTGCTCCATCGATATTCAAATTAAGCGTTCCGTAAGGAGGTGCCGTCCATGTGAGGCTCACTTTCAGCTTACTTTTTTGTCCCTTGACAGTGGAAGTGACAGGATAAGTAATGCACATATTATATGAAAGATGCCCCAACTGCCCCTTGCTCTTGAATCAAAGCGTGTGGCGCAAGAAGATAATATCAACAATCTTATGAGAGTCAAAAGTTTTATTGTTGAATATAATTTCATTACGACGAAGCCATAAAGACCAAAAGGAGGCCAAAAAGAGCATTCTACAGGGATCTCTCTTTTGGTTTGGGAGAGGCATAAGCATCCAAGCCTTGAAAAAGGACACAGCATCACCTGGAGAGACCCAACTAATGCACCATTTCTCGCAACAAAGGGACCAAACTTCCCAGGCCATAAAACAATTGAAAAATAAGTGAGAAGGGGTGTCAAGGTCATTTGTTAGGGGTATTTGTGTTAAAGGATGCTGTTCCGTTACTTGGGTTTTTGGATTTGGGTGGGCAAGAAAAGGCCATGAAGGAGACTGCCAAAGAAATGGATAGTATTGCTAGTGAATGGTTAAAGGAACATAAGCAGAAGAGAGCCTTGGGGGAGGTTAAAGAGCAACACTTCATGGATCTTTTGCTTTCTCTCCTCGAAGCTGAAAGTACTAACCCAAACCTCTCAGCATGGGATGCGGATACTATCATCACAACAACCTGCTTGGTTTGTATTCTATCCTCATCCCTAAATTTGGTCTTCTTTTTGCCTTTTTCTTTAACTGGTATTGCGCAGTTGACTGTTTGCAAAGAAATACTTATGATGTTTAATTAATTGGGATTATTATATAGTAATGGCATGGGAGGTAGAGAAAGTGGTTTTATTAAGATGAAATTACTTCTTTTTCATTTACTTTTGGTGAGTTATGCCATGAAAATAGCTTCTTCTTCTTCTTGTCCTTTTCTCTCTTCCTCTTTTTGTTTCAATCTAACTTAGTAAATAAGAAAAAGACTGCTCAGTATCAACTTGTTACTACCATTGAACCATACTATCTGAAGGAGGCACTTGAACGTGCAGAGTTGCATCAAGTTCCTGCCAATGTCTTCTTTTTTCGGCTCAACGATCT